CTCCCTTCTAGTCCTACCTGCAGCTATCCTAGATGATCCTGCCCTTATTAAAGATGTTCTGATTTCACTGCGGTAGACTTCAAAGAGCAGCAGCCAGCACACACTGTCCCTCCTGGCCGCACACCCTGAGGAGAGGCAAGCCCACGTCCCTCACAGCGGCAGGAGGAGAGCACGGCACATGTCCGGCTCCTGCCAACTGATGCCTGGTGCAAAGAAAAAGATTTGGCAAAGCGGCATGGTCTACAGCACTCACACTCTCTCCCAGCTATAGACTGGGTTCTTGTTTGCACTGGGACTTTCTTTTGCACATATCAGTAAGAAAATGAGAATGAGTGGGCCAGGGATGCCAGCAGGGAACAGAAGGAATAATGCTCACACCGGTGGGGAATAATTTAAAAGGCCAAGAGGCAAGACTAACATTTGAAATGACCAACAAATCCCTGGAGTTGTCACTATTATTGAGTATGTTCTGTCACCCTCCCGATGTTTCCCTTTTATTCTGAAATAGCTGTTCCAAGAAGGAGGGCAGTATTTTTACAGCTGTGCTCCCAGAGCTTGACATTCAAGATGGGCATTATCAATGCAGGTCCTAAGGCAAGCCCACTAGCCCTATAGCAGCAATGCTGCCCTCGGAGCTGGCAGGGGCTGGTCAGGGTAAGCATCTTGTGTGATGGATGCAGGGACTTTGCTGCCAGGAGCGGGCCTGGGGCAGTCAAAGGGTTCAGTTCTCCTTCAACATCCACTTCAAGAGAAAAAGACACAAAGACAGAAACCACCAGGATGGGAGAAAGAATCAATTCAGAAACATCAGAAGCTCATTAAGTACCTCCCTGTTAGTCACTTAGTTAATCTCTTTTCCCTCAACGTCCCCCTGGAAATCACTGATGATGACACTAAGAGTTAATCATCAGAAAGCAAGATTTATCTTGGTTTTATCCCAGCAAACACCAGAGTGCCACAGCAGCCGCAGCTACTTACATTCCAACAGGATGGTTTTGGTTATCAGCAACGCTGCCCTCCCAATACGTCAGTCCTCCCAAGGCACAGCTCGCAACTCCGCAACACGTACCTCCCCTGGGACATCAGACACACACACCCTGTGCACAGACGTGCCTTTCCAAGGCGGCCACATGGCTCTGCCCCAAAACCCCCCAGCACTGCCGGTAGCATCAGTCGCTCCCACAGGAGAGGTTGTGTTGTCCTAGTGAAGCGGCCCTGGGCATGCTCCTGGTACACTCCACACCCTACAGCCTGCGCATCCCCCTCAGATGCTCTGCAAACCTTGGCTCGCTCCCGGCTGTGAAGCCAAACATTGCTGATGGATCAGCCAGCAGGGGGAAACATTCAATATTTTATCCATCGTGATACTGACACCGTTCAGTACCGTACACGCTCACTTCAGGTTGCTGCTCACAACAACATGGTTGTCACTCAGCATCATTCCACCTCTCGCAGTTATGACCCCAAAATGTGCATTTCTGCTAAGGTTAAAACAGGCTTTGAATGTTACGAGAGGGCAAGGCTTGCCACGGGAAGGCAGGCAGCATCCTCGGCAGCACTGCTGCAGAAGCATCCAGTACTCCTAAGCACTCAAAGGTTGTCCTGCTGGGATCTGTTTAAGGCCTCAGCACACTAACCAATGTAACAAAACAAAGACCAGGTGAAAGACCGGAAGATGAGACTCCAGAGGGGATGAAAAGTGGGGGTGGGGTGGGGAAGGGGTGGAAGATAAGGATGTACTGTTGGTCACTGAGGAAAGCATATTTACAGAACAGAAATATTAACAACTACTTTTCAGCATGTACTTGTCAAAGAGCAACTTTTTTTTTTCCTGGGATTGGTCCCTTTTCTGCCCTTCCAAGTGTTACTAACACTTGTGATTCCAGTGATATTTCATCACCTTTTTAATACTGTAACTTCTGGACTTGGAAGACAATGAGAATTTCAGCTTCCAGGCCTTTTTTTTTTTTTTTTTAACATGAAGGAAGTTCAGCCAGACAAAGAAGAAACCCACAAATACCTTTTGTTTCATTATTTTGGAGGCCTGACCCCATGAGTTTTACAGGTGTGAGGTTGGCAATAAAGGCAGTAGATAATTTCTGTTCACTTCTGTTACACTTTCCAGAAGAACCAGAATAAGAGAGATCATCTGTTCTATAGCTGGTCTTTATGGAGCCAGAAATCTGTGCAATTCAGCCACAGCTCAGCTGTTGGAAGGCATGATTATCTAGAAATAGGACAGGCTTGAAGAAAAGGAAAATTGAAGGTAACAAAAGGACAAAAAAAAAGGCCCATCTGAATAGGAAAGGCATGATTCTGCATCTTGATACACCTCTGCTACCTCAGTTACATGAAGGGGGGTCCACTTCATGGCTCACTGCAGGAACTAGCCAACAGTCAATTAATTTGCTTCACTGTTTTCTTTTAAGAAATACGGATGAACTTCCTCTGTTTCCATTCACTATTTCTCCACCAATAGAAGACCAAGTCAGAATACTATTTTCTTCAGACATTAGTAGTTAATAAACATTTAAATCTGTTTTCAGAGTCTACATACCATTATAAAAACCACTCCCTTGGAAGAGAATCCACTTATTGATAGCATTTGCACACAGAACAAGGCCTCCCTCTTTAAAAAAAGAAATGTATTTTAAAAGTGTATAATCTAACTTGCAACTTACTGCTTACACTATCTATTTACCTTCTGCAACTCGCTCTGCCGTGGACAAGAGAACAGACAGGTCGTTTCCAATTTCACATCACAGAGCAAATGCTTTAGTTTCCTGACACTCATGCACACTGCTTTTAAGGTTTGCACTGCAAGCAGCACACAACCAGTTTCTATCAGTACTTCCTTCTAACACCTAAGACAAAGGAAAATTCAAACATATTTGACATTTGACCTGGCACCTCCAAAGTCCCATTCCCCACAAGTATGACCTTCTTTTAAGAACAGCTTCAGCTTATCAGAAAGCCAGATGAGTAATAGTGATGACAAACCTATACCAGAGAGTTTTCAGAACAGTTAGTAACCAGTTCTTGCCAACCAATTATCAATTCCTATGAAGTGCTCACTCGGCTATGATTATCATTACTTATAAGGGTGCCATCAAACTGAAACTGAGTCAGTGTTTTAAAAATTATTTAAGAGCAGTTCTGAATACTAAAGCGGCTCCCAAGTCCCCACTGCCAAACTGCATGTTCTTCTTCACAAGAAGGTGATGTTTCTTCCCTCGTGTGGAAGAGAAAAGGCACCACTTACTCTGATAACAGACAATACTAACGAACCATACAAAGGAAATAATGGGTTACTTCACACATTTGACAGCTTACTGCAGTTTTAAAAGATTTGTGAAGATGAAAATGCATTTCCTTTATCTCATATTATTTCATTTTAGGTACTTGTAGCAATTACAGCTAACAGAAGTGTGGTTCTTGAATTACAGCGTCCATTTCAAAGCAACGCTTAAATTAATCTAGACAATTTTTCCAGCCCTGAAGTCCACAAGGTTAAGGTTTGACAAGTTCCAGTTCTGTCTGTAACCAACTAGAGCTAAAATACTGCTGTGCTACTGAAGTGCTAGGGAATGAGGTGACCTCCCCTTGAGGAGACAGCTCCTTTCTTCCCCATGCAGCCTCCAAGGTAAGAGCTATTCACCCCAGAGAAAGGGTGCAGGTGATGTGCTAAGCGAGCGTTTTGGGAACCCTGCATTGGTCACGTTTTACATCTGACTTTCAGGAGGGAGCTGCCAATTGCCAGGGGGGCAGCTCCACAGCAGCTGCTCACGTCCAGCCCTGGCTGCGGCATCCCTGCCTCCTCCCCTGCCAGCACTCCCTCCCCTGCCCGGGCACCTCGCTCGCTGATCTGGCTGAAATCTAAGTGTGGCGGGGGGAAGCAGTTAGTGTTCAGCCAGATCAGCCCCCGGAGGCCTCTCGCCATGACCCTGGCAGCTCCCCAAAGAGCACAGAGAAGGAAGAAACACAGGACTGGGATGGAAAGAAAAGGTGAGACTGAGGACTTATGACTGGTGTAAACCATTATGGGACCACTCCTTGTGGTTACAATCAGACAATTTTTTTGACAGCGAAATGAAACGAAGCTGTGAACCCAACGCTGTTGCCAGGAATTCAGCGCATCAAAAGGCTACCCTCACAAATGGCCCCTTGGCCATCGCAGTCAGCAAAGACGCCAAGGGCACCACTCCAAGGACATCAAAAAGCACATAAGAAAAAGGACCTCCCTGCAACACCAGAGAATACTGCATGGCTTGGGGGGATGTCCCAAGGTCAGGGACACCCTGTGGTTAACCTTCACAAGGGAGCAGTGCATCCCACCCAGCAAACTCCTGGCTCACAAGGCAAGTTAGGTGCCCATTTACTGCTGGGTTGGCTAAAGACAGCCTTAGCAAGTCTCAACTGAGATGCCGTCTTAAGCCTTTGGCTCTGCAACAATGCATCTTAACTACTGGAGGTCCTTGGAGGGATCATTTTCCTAATATTTTCTTGCTGTTTGAGTGAAACAAACATTATGTTTTCCTGGGCTCTTGCTGGGTCAGTGTTTTGGATCCAGCAAAAAAACTACTGCAGCTTCACAAAACCACTAGTAGTGATAAAACTCCAGGATATTAGTAAATATATGGAAAGTCAGAACAAGTCTTCATACCCCAGGTGATCTCCATTCATTCCCCCTCCACTCCCCTTCAAATTACAACAGCAGCAAACAGTATGTCACATCTGAGCCTCCAAATGCAAAATGAAGATAGGCTATGTAAAACATAGCACGGTCTAAAAATAATCAAAAGTGTATTTTAAATTTATGTTCTGATTTTTTTTTCCTACTGACAAATGCAACCTCAGCAAAAGACCTAACTATAGGGAGTATTAGAAGTGACATCAGAAATTTTTCTAACAGTTGCCTGTACCGGAGCTTCTCAGGAGGCTTTGCTGCAGACCCATACGGCACAAGGAAAAGCAGTTTGGTGCAAAGGGCTCATACTCACCGTCTGCAAAGTTTCCTCCTGTCTTCTGCTTTGGCTCTGTCGGTTGATAAAGGAGCGTGTCGAGAGTTTGTAATGGTTCAACAAGCAGATGATCACTACCACCATAACAGTTATAACCACAATTATAATGATGATTTGAACAAACTCCAGTTCAGCTAAAAGCAAAGAAGAAAAAAAGAGGAAAATACGTCAATCACACAGAGAATGTTATCCATCAAAACAATAATCTGAAAAGCCCTCAGTATTTCATCAAGATTGATCTGCAGTAAGATGTCACTGCTGTCCATGTCGCAAAGTTTTGTGAAGAAAACGGTGCTCTAAAATATGAGAGTTATTTATTTTTTGGCAGTGCTGATCAACTGGTACGAGTGGCTGCAGGTCAAAGCTAAGAAACATCTTTGTGATCCTTCTCTGCAGCCTTCATAGGTAATAAATTCTTCAGCATAAACACCACAGGCAAGCCTTTTGGATAACACAATTTCACTGGGGGGG